AGGGATCTGAACAGTGGCACTGCAGGATGTTAGAAGGTCACCCATTATCTCCTTTCCGGATACCCTGGGGCCCTGGATAACCATCCTGTCCTCTCTGGGCCTCCCCGGTGAAAAGCACTAGACGCCAGGATCTAGAGCATTCCCCGGCCCGTGTCTGGGACACATCGCCTGGGGCAGGGATGAAGATGGGGAACGGGAGAGGGTGCAGAGGGTGGGAAAGGGGTGGAGTGTCCGAGGGAGGGGGAGGGGGAGGGGTGGAGTGAGGATGGAGGTGGTGGGGCGCTGTGTGCAGCAGAAATGGGATGGGGTTGGGTGCCCACTGGGTGATGGAGACGAAGTAGGGTGGACGTGTGTGGAATCAGGAGATGGGGTGGGGGGCTGGCGCGGACGGGGTGAGGGGTTAGGACGGGGTGCAGCGAGGATGAATGTGCTGGGAAGGCAGAGGGGCTGAGCGCTCCTCAAAGACTGCCTCTTTCTCCTCCCTTCCCATCTCCCGGGGGATGAGCCTCCGCGTCTGCCCGCCCCCAATCCTAGGGCGGAGGCCTCGCGCAAAATCCAGACTCCGCGCTCGGGTGCAGGGTCTCCGCCACAGCCCGCTCCTTCCCGCTCTGCCGGGGCCCCTGAAGCGGCCACTCCAGCCCGCGGTTCCGAGAGAAGCCCGTGGCAGGTAAGGCCGGACGGCGGGATCCGGGCGCACCGGAATGCTGGGGCGGGCAACCGCGGGGCTGGGGATGGAGGCGCCGCGAGAGGATCGGAGGGCCCCGGGAGGAGGGTCGAGCCGCCGCCCGGATTAGGCCCTGCGTCGCGTCCCGGTCCCCCGCCCCAGCTGCTCAGCTAAGCGGTCGGGGGTAGGGGGACGGGGGGTGGAGCATGGCGCGGGGGTGGGGCGGGAGGGAACTGTGCCCTGGGTCCGGGCCTGCGGGGGCGGGGTCTGCACTGTGTCACCGCCGTGCGTCTCCGCGCCGCCCGCGAGGCCAGAATCCCCTGCTCCGGCTCTGCGCCCGATGCGCGCTGCCCCAAAGGGTCTGGAAGAGCCTGGCAGAGGCACACGCTTGGTCCTTTCTCCAGACGGTGATCTGGATCCTTGGGGGCCCTTGGTCCCCGAGACTGTGTCCTTCAAATACGTCCCCCACCCCAGTGTGGCCTCTGGTCCCGCCAAGCCGTGGAGGCTTGGGTCGGTGGTCCCAGGGCAGCCCAGGATATGGGGCCCCCTCCTCCAGGCCTCAGCTCCCCCACCGCAGGGTGTTCACCACCCGCCATTCTTTGCTCTCACTTCAGCCCCAGGCACAGAATAACGCCCCCCCCCAGGTGCTCAACTCTCTCACCCTTCAACTCACCCCTTACTCGTTACTGAACAAGACTCCCACCCTCTATCCAGGCCTGAAGGCCTAATCCTCCCAGCCCACCCAGGCCCCGAGCTGGTAGTTCTTCAGATGCTGGGGGCCCCTGTACTGCCAAGTGCTGAGTCTCCTGTCCCCAAGCCCTGAGCCCTCTGGTCCCCCAGCCCCTGTGTCCAGGCCCTGAGCCCCCTGGTCCCTGAGCCCCTGTCCCAGAGCCCATGAGCCCTTGTCCCCAGGCCCTGAGCCCCTGGCCCCGAGGCCTCTGGTCCCCTGAGCCTCACAGAAGCTGAGGTCCTTTCCGCGTTTTACCGCAGGTTTGCTCCACAAAGATGAACTGGACGGCCGCGACTTGCTGGGCTCTGCTGCTAGCCGCCACCTTCCTCTGCGACAGCGGTGCGGCCAAGGGTGGCCGTGGAGGGGCTCGCGGCAGCGCCCGGGGAGGGCTGCGCGGGGGCGCGCGCGGGGCCCCGAGGGCGCGCGTGAGGCCGGCGCCTCGCTACGCGGGCTCCTCCCTGCGCGTGGCGGCGGCGGGGGCGGCGGCCGGGGCTGCCGCGGGCCTGGCGGCGGGCTCCAGCTGGAGAAGGGCCCCGGGCCCCGGGGAGCGCGACCTGGAGGACGACGAGGACGCGGCACCGGGAGGCAACCGGACGGGCCAAGGCGTCTACAGCTACCGGGCGTGGACTTCGGGCGTGGAGCCCACCAGCAGCCCGTGCCTCTGCCTGCTACTGGGCGGCGCTCTGGGCGCCCTGGGGCTGCTGCGGCCCTAGGCCCGGCCGGGCTCGCGGCCAGATCTGGCCCCCAGCCGGCGCCCTCCCCACAGGCCTCTCCGGCCCGCCCCGGAGACCGCCAGCGGCCGAGGGCCCTTTCCCACCGCTGCCCACCGCCTCCGACCCAGAGAGCCTGTTCTACCTCTCACCCACCCGGAGGCCGCGTCCTGTTCACCGCCCTGCCCAAGTCCCTCTCCAGCCTCCCCATTTCCCACCCGACAGAGGACCAAGGCCCATCAGTTCCAGGATGCCCCACCTACCGCCTGGAGGTCAGGGTCCTCCCCAGGCAGAAAGGCAGGTGCCTGTGCTTCCACCCTGCCCAGCAGCCACCGTCTCTCCCGAGCTGCCCAGAGAGATGTGCCAAACCAGGATGTTCAAGCCATTCCGGCTGCCCTGACCCCATCCCGGACACTTGAGGAGTATGGACAGTGCTGACCACCAGGCAAAGAGGCGGGTCCTGAGGACCCTGTGGCCCTCCCCACAGAAGCAGCCAGAATGGACCAAAGGACTAGTGGCTCTGGGGAGGACAGGTTTCTCTCACAGGCTGTGGTGTACCTACCACCTGGTACAGAAGAGGCAGTCTGGGGACTTCGGGGCCCAGAGCACCCCTGCCACAGCAGCTGCCCCACAGCCTTGCCAGCCCACCCTCAGGCCCAGAGGCATGCCCCCTCCCTGGGCAACCTCAAGACTAGGGGCCCCCTGCGGCCACTTTGCTCCCACTTGAAACAAGTCACTCAACTCTCCTTGGGACCTATTTTGGGGGAAAAACCACATTGTTTAAGTTTCAAGAGCTTTTCATTTCCTTTGAGGTTTAGGTTCACATTCTGGAATCAGTGCTCACTGGTCCTCAGGGATGGCACGGCCACTCCCACTAAACAGCCCTCCCCAGGACAACCCACTTTTGCTTCAAGCAGATCTGTAGTTGGTGCCTCCCCCTGCCGCGAGAAGGAGAGGGCAAGGTGTGAATGGTGTGAATGCGCAGGCCAGATCTCAAGTCAGAACCAGCAAACAACACAGCCACAAGGCAGGTCCTTGGAGGCGGGCAGCCGCGGCCAGGTGCCAGCCCAGCACCCGACAAACAGACAGATGTGAGAGTATCGGGCTCAGCAAAAGAAGCCGGGAAGCTGAGCCCCCTCCAACACCTGTCTGAGCATCTGAGGCTGTTCTGGGGACAGGACAGACCCCCCAAGAGGCCTCTAAGGAAATGCCAGGCGGGCCTTGCAAGGGTTTGCCTCTGGCACCCAAACATCCTCTGCAGAAAGCCAGCCCTTTCAAGCCTCGGGCCTGGGTCACAGTCCATGAGCTCAGCCCTGGGGGCCTTGGCTCTTTACCACATCCTCCACCCCATATCCCACAGCAGGACAAATGTCCCAGGCCTGGATCCTCTGGATCTCCCCCTCCTTCGGTGCTCACTGAAAGCCTCACCTGCTGCTGGATTGCCTTCCAGAATATGCCCTCACCCCCACCCCCACCCCCCAGACCATGGGGCCTTTGGACTCAGCTGGTGGACACCAGCACCTCCTCGGGGGGGGGGGGAGGACCTGCGACCTCTGCTCTCCCACAGCTGACACCCAGATCTGGTTAGGGTGAGGGTCTCCAAACTACCAGCAGAACCCTGGACCGAGCATTTCTCTCCAAAGACCAGGACACAGAGCTGCAGAACACAGCTCCCTGCAGCCACCTGTACCCACAGCGCCGGCAGACTCGGGGTACAGCCCAGTGCCCCTCCCTCCATTCCAGACCAAAGACCAGCAGGCTGTGGCCTTGTGGGCAGTGTGACCATTCTGCCACTGCACCTGCAGGCAGGAGAGTCTGCACAGGGACTCGGTTCTACCTGAGGGGCCAGGGGCATGCGCCAGCTTCTCCGGCACCCTCACAGGCCGCATGGCACCACGTGGTGGATGTGGAGAAACGGCATTCTCAAGTCAAGAGCTTATTTCGCACACCAACCTGATTCCGGGAGCGTGTCTGGCCTTGGCACCAGCACACACTGGAGTTCTTCCCACTCCACTGGTCAGGGTTCCAGCAGGAAGCAGATGGCGCCCAGGGCGGGTACTCTCAGGAGAGGTCAGTGTGTGTGCTCCGGGTGTGGGCACCTTCAGGAGGAGAGGTGCCCTGCAGAGACTCAGGTGTTTCTAGGAAGGCCAGGCCCCCACTGGACACAGAAGAGGCAAAGCAGCTGACCAGGTCCACCCCTACCCCCTTTCCTTCCCCTGCCCTTTGCTGGAATGCAGGCTGCTAGGTCAAGTTCCCTGGGGAAGAGTCCCACTGTCCTGTTAGCTAGAAGGTGCTCGGAGGCAGTGAGAGGCTCTAGAGTCCCCACTGACCACACCAGTGACCTTCCCAGCCCGCACGCAGCTGGGGACAGACAATCCTTGGGTTCTGCCACAGCTGTCTGGACCCTCCTGTCCACTGTGTGTGCACATTTTAGTCGTGTCGTGAAATAAACACTCTGCTGGCAAACAGAACTGTCTTTATTGCAGGACCCAGGACACTACCAAGGACCTAACACAAGAACCCTTGCTAAGTGGCTCATATCCCAGTTTTTCTTGCTGAGAGGGGCCTTAACACGTGGGCCCAAGGTGCTACTGGCGCACAGCAGATGTGCCACCAGCAGAGACAGGCCTTTTAAAACATTTAAATTACAGATTGTACTCTCACCTCCTAAGAAAACATCAGCTTCTCCTTAAGAGACACTCAGCATGTGTGAGGCACACAGGGACAGCTCAGAGGTGTCAGCAGCCCCGATGTCCAGACTCTAGGCACCGTGCCCTGTAACCAGCATCTGGCCAGGCTGTGGAGGGGCCGTAGGTACAGGCTCCTTCCTAGAGATGAGACCTGAGTACTGTACAGTGACCAGCATGGAGATTCTGGGAAAGGGAGTCCCAGGGTCAAATTCTTGGCTGTGAGGGCCTGGGATGTCCCAATCTGTGGTGCCAAGGGCCAGGCAGGAGTGAAGCCCCTGCCAGCTGGACTGGTTCAGGGGTCTGCCAAGGGGGGTCTCTGCAGGACATCCCTGTCCAGCATCACTGGGCCGAGCAGCCCACTGCGGAAGGTGCGGAGGAAGTCTTGGGCTGCCGCAGAGTAGTTGGGCTGGATGACGTTCACATCCCCTGGGGGAGACAAGACGGTCTGGGGAGGAAGGCACCTCTGTGCAGGGCAGACCCAGGATTCAGACGCACCCCTCCCTGCCCGTCCTCAGGGACTGATGGTGGGTACCTCTGGAGCTTGGGCACCAAGAAAAACCACAAAGTCTGGGCAGTAGCGCCTGACCTCAGGAGGCTTCAGAGGGGTGGGACACAGGGTGTACCCAACACGAGGCAGGGCCGCCCTGAGCCCCCTCCTCTGCAGCACCTCCGTTTCCAGAAAAGCCACATGTGCCCACAATGTCCTCCCCGGCCAATTGCAGCCCGCTCCACTGGCTGGTTCTCCAAGCCCAGCCCGGGGCTGAGGCCTCCACGTCTCACCTGTGCCTGTGAGCACCTTCACCTTCTGCGTCTTCCCCAGCCTCACAGCCACCCGCTTCAGCACACTGGCTATGTCATCACAGGCTCCGTCCAGACCGTAGTGCTGCACGTACCTACACACAGACCAATGGTCAGGGAGTGGGGGCCATGGCCAGGACGTGCGGGGTCACGCCCGGCTCCACCAAGGACCCCACTAGAGCCCGTCGCTGCATCATCCACCCCATTCCTGAGCAGGCCCGGGGCCTGGAGCCCTCAGTCAGCAGGGCAAGCCACTGGAGACACTCAGGGCCTCCGGGCAGCCGCACAAGGTCAGGGGCGCCAGGATCACCCGCACTCTCTCCAATGGAGAAGGAACAAGGTGTGCTTGGCATTTTTGCAGCCCTCGGACCAGCACACTGAGCACCCACCACTGCTGAGAACTGCCCGGTGGCTCCCGTGAACTCCCTGTCCCACAAGACTCCGGCTCTGGGCCTGATGAGAAAGGCCAGCACCAGGCCGGGCACGTCTGACCCTGAAGGGCTGAAGGAGACAAACCTCATCCACAGACAAGCACCTCCCTGAACCCCGGGAGCCGGGAAACTCCACCCTGGACCGCCTGATGGCAGAGGAAACGGTGGATTTGCCTCACGGTCCACAATGGAGGGCAGGGCTCAACCATAAGGAAAGTAAGACATGGACCCAGCCCCCACGTGGGCATCGGAGTGCCCATCTCAGAGGGCGTCTGAACGCTGCGAATGCAGGTCCTAAGTCAAACTTCTGAGGGCGGTAGCCCCACAAGGCCCTCTGTCCTGGTGACCTTGAGAGCTGTCCCCAGGAGAGCACTCCCACCAGCACACAGCCGAGAGCTGCCCCCCACAGGAACTCTAGAAATTCTCTAGAAACATTCTCTAGAAATGCTGCAGGACCACAGATGCCCAGACTCCCACACAAATGAAGCAAAAAAATAAATTTGAAATTTTACTTCCATGTAAAACAGAATAACAGGAACTGAATTTACCTCCCCTGAAACAACCAAAAACACACAAAAGAACTGTGTCCAAGGCACCAGACATCAAGCTATGAAGAATGTAAACAGGAACCCACCACTGCCCCGCATAGCACCTCATGACCCCACAGAGCCCAGAGGGTTGCTGGAGCGGAGACACCACCAGCTGAACCAGACGCCAGAGCTGCCCAGAGAGAGAATTCTAGAAATCGACCAACCTCTATATTTAGCAGAGGAGGGCTCAGCACATGTGTGAAAGGAAATTCTCCAAAGCCAGAGGCCAGGAGAGACCCCGAGCAGGGCAGAGGGCCCGTGCCCAGCGCTCACACAGAGCCAAGAGCAGGTGGATGGTACACAGGGCAGGGGAGGGCCCCGCCCCACATGGGGCAACGGCTCCAGACCCACAGGTCTGGAAGGAACTGTTTCCAGACAATCATCCCAAGCAAAGCTCAAGGATTTGTGCAGGAACCTAAAGATGCCCATCATCCAAAAAGACAAAATTCAAAATGCCTAGCAGCCAAGCAAACATTATCAAGCATGGACAGTGGGGAAACAGACTCATCATGAGAGAAAATCAGTTAGTAAAACTGCCCCAGATGTTAGGGTTAGCAGAGATGTTACATCAGTTATTGTAACCACAGTCCACGTGGTTACAAACTGAAGTAGAAACACAGAAGATATGACACACGCTGTGAGACACACTGGTGGGTGTGAGCAGCAGGTCAGACACGCGGGGGTGTAGGCGGGTGGCCAACACGTGGGCAACAAGTCCTGAGGACGGGAGAAGGCAGAACCTGAAAACACAGGAAGAAATCATGTTGACAAAGATACAAATGTAGGGATCCGAAGGGGTACGTGCACCCCAATGTTTATAGCAGCAACGTCCACAATAGCCAAACTGTGGAAAGAGCCAAGATGTCCATCGACAGATGAATGGATAAAGAAGAGGTGGTATATATACACAATGGAATATTATGCAGCCATCAAAAGGAATGAGATCTTGCCATTTGCAACGACATGGATGGAACTGGAGGGTGTTATGCTGAGCGAAATAAGTCAATCAGAGAAAGACATGTATCATATGACCTCACTGATATGAGGAATTCTTCATCTCAGGAAACAAACTGAGGGTTGCTGGAGTGGTGGGGGGTGGGAGGGATGGGGTGGCTGGGTGATAGACATTGGGGAGGGTATGTGCTATGGTGAGCACTGTGAATTGTGCAAGACTGTGAATCACGGATCTGTACTTCTGAAACAAATAATGCAATATATGTTAAGAAAAAAAAGAAGAAGAAGATAGCAGGAGGGGAAGAACGAAGGGGAGTAAATCGGAGGAGGAGACGAACCATGAGAGACGATGGACTCTGAAAAACAAACTGAGGGTTCTAGAGGGGAGGGGGGTGGGGGGATGGGTTAGCCTGGTGATGGGTATTAAAGAGGGCACGTTCTGCATGGAGCACTGGGTGTTATGCACAAACAATGAATCATGGAACACTGCATCAAAAACTAATGATGTAATGTATGGTGACTAACATAACATAATAAAATAAAATTAATTAAAAAAAGAAATCATGGTTGAAAATCTGATAAAGGCTACAAACCCACAGATCTAAGAACTCAACAAACTATAAGCTCAAGAAACATGAAGAAAGCCATACAGGGCCCATTGTCATAAATTGCTCAAAAGAACGACGAGAAAATCTTAAAAGCAGCTGGAGGAACAAAGGCAAACATGACCGATTACCCATCAAAAACAAAGGGGTGAGAACAGGGTGGGACAACCTCTTTCCAGTCCTGAAAACAGCTGTCCATCTACCCTTTCACGCAAAGCACAAATATCGTTCCAAAACGAATGTGAAATAAAGACATCTTTGAACAACCAAAATCTGAAAGAATTCATCAGCAGCAGACCTGCGCTGCAAGAGGCATGATGAGAAATCCTCAGATGGGGGACACCGCACAGAAGCTGGCCCTACGAGCAGCAGCCACGAACAGAGCCCATGAACCATCAAGCAATGGGTAAACAGCTAAGGTTTATTTCTTACACTTAAAGTCTCTGTATAAACAGAACAGTATAGCTCAGGTTTACAAAACACGTCAAAGTAAGACACAGAACAACAGAAGCCCAAAGACCCAGAGCAGAAGGGAGATGCGCCATCGTAAGGAGCTTGCGCTGCAGACATGTTATGATGTCACCCAAAGCTGCTCCTCAAACAGCAAGGCAGCCTCCTCCAGAAGTTACAGGTGACAAGCGGACAGAGCGGACAGAGGGATATCATAAGAATATCCAATTCATCCAAAAAAGGCCAAAGAGAGACAGAGGGACCGAGGGAGGGAGACAGGCAGGCAGATGCAGAGAAAGAGGAAAGAGAACGGGGGACAGAACAAACAGCAAGACAACAAATTTGGGCTTTTTTTAGGATTTTATTCATTTATTTGAGAGAGACCACAAGTGTGAGAGAGGGACACGAGCAGGGGAGCGGCAGAGGCAGAGGGAGAAGCAGGCTCCCCGCCGAGCAGGGAGCCCGATGCGGGGCTCAAGCCCAGACCCGGGACCACGACCTGAGCCGAAGGCAGACGCTTAACCAACTGAGCCACCCAGGCCCCCACAAGACGACAAATTTACCCCAAATATCAATAATCACATTACATGTAAATAGTGCAAAGACCTAAAATAAAAGACAGAAATGGTCAGATTGGATGAGAAACAAGACCTCACTGTCTGTACGCAGCCTGTAAGAAACACATTTTTAATACAAAGACACAAATAAGCTCAAAGCAAAAGGATAAAAAAAGATTTACTGTGTTAATACTCATCAAAAGCTGGAGCTGTTGTATAACTACCAGACGAGGCAGATGTCAGAGCAGAGAGCACTGTGAAGACCCAGGCGGTCCTGCTGGGTGATAGGGCATCAATCAGGAGGACACTAGGACCCGCAGACTGTCCCCTGCACCTCACAACACAGCTCTGGAATACATGAAGCAGACATGCAGAACTGCAAGGACAGACAGACAATACCTGATAAACAGAAGGAAAGCCAGCAAAGTAGAAATAACGAAATAATAAAGATTGAACAGTAATCAATGAACTAAAAGACAAACAAAAACAGAGAAAGTCAGTGAAACCGAAAGCTGGTTCTTGGTGGAAATCAGTAAAACTGAACGTCTGGTGGGACTGAGGTCCTCAACACGACACGGGACATCCGGGAAACACCCCGGCGAGAACAAACAGGTGCGTTGATCTATACCACAGAACACTGCGCAGCGGTCACCAGGAAGGAGCAACACAGGCCACAACACGTCACAACACGGGTCACGACACGCGTCACAACACGGAGGAATCTGAGAGCAATCACGTCGAGCGCAAGGAACCCCCCAACAACAAAAGAGAGCGCACGCCGTGGGACTCCATTCCTAGGATGTTCGAGGACGGGACACAAGGCAGATGGCCACCAGGGTGTGGCTTGCGGGCTGGGGGGCCATCTGTAAAATGGGAGAAGGAAGGGGTAGAGAGGAGTGATCCCCGAAGAGCACAAGAAATTCGGGGGTTTTCTTGACTGTATAAGAGCCAAACATTTCAAACTGTGCACTGCACATATAATGTGCAGAATTTGTCCCATAACACCTTAATGCTGCTATTTTCCTACATGATGTTTGTCTCAGATGAGAGAGAGGACAGCCCGCCCGCCCCCCATCCTGCACTCACCCAAAGAGCTGGTGCCTGTTGAGAGTGTAGAGAAGGTAGTCGGCCAGGGTCTCCACCCCCACCAGGTGGTCCAGCACGGTTCCTGGAACCAGGAGGCCAGGGTGAGCAGTGGAGACCAGCTCCCAGCTCACCAGAGGCACTGCTGCTCCTGACCACTCTGCCTTCGCTGTAAGCTGGGAGAAGGCAGGCGCACTCCAGGCCGTGGGGTCCACGGGGTCAGAGCAGTGGCCCACGTCACTGGGAGCAAGGGCTGACAGGCTCCCTGCCATGCTCGCTCAGCACGCTCTGAAGTGTCTGCCACAGCCGGGCCGAGAAAAGCAGGCACAACCCGCCAGGCCCGGCAGCAGGAGGGGGCACTAAGCGGGGGCTCCAACTCACCGCACAGGGCCAGCTTCAGGCCCATCTCCACACTTTCGATCCGAGGGGCCAGCACCCCGGGAGTGTCCAGCAGGAACATCAGTGGCCGCTCACACACCTGTGGACAGAGAGGGCAGTTGGGCCATCCGCTCCCTCCAGGCGTTCTGCTGGGCGGCCCCTGGAGCCAGGCTGCTAGGTTCCTAAGGCTCTGAGAAGGCCCCAGGGCCCTGTCCTGATGGGTTCATCCTTTTCAGATGAATGGATGAGCTCTCGGCTTCCCCGCAGGATCAGTTCCCATTGAGTTTGGAGAATAAATCAGAGCAACAGGTTCTCTTCCCAGAGCGAAAAGGGCATGTGTGGATGGGCTGAGCTAAGCCTGGGAGAACGGGCCACTGTGTGACCTTGGGCAAGTGCCTCGGTTCCCTCATCCATAAAACAGGGGTGAGAGCACGCCCTCCCGGAGGTCTGATGTAAGGGTGCTGCAGTGCCTGGCACGTGGCAAGTGCTCCGTGGGAACAGAGTGGAGGAGAAGGCAGGCAGGCCACCCCACAGCCCTCAGGAAGCACCAGGCGTGTGCGCAAAACTCTAGACCCAGCAGCCAAGGACCCTACCTGAATTCTGGACATCACAGCTCTGGTGATCCCAGGCTCACCGCCCACCCTGGTAGCTTTTCCTGCAGGATGAAAAGGGGCTGTCGAATGCAGTCAACCCACAAAGCCTGGCATACAAGCTACAGGATAAGAAATGAGACACGTGGAAACCATGAAGGCGCACATGAGCTTGTGTTCAGTTCAGCTCCAAACCAGCTCACAGCAGTGACTCTTTTACTAAAACTTGCCTCCCAGTACCTGGGAAGGTGCTCCAAGACCTGCCAAGGGACCGGCAGGCAAGCGCCTGACCGTGAAGGTCCCCACAGGGCTCTTCCTTCAGCACCCCAGCTTCTGCCTCCAGGACTTGACCCCATGCCCCCGACACTGGCCCTGCACCCTGCGAGTCTGCTCCCACAGCACTGCCCGCGACAGGCCTGTGAGCTGAGTCCCTGTCCAAGGGGCCGAGTCAACGCAAGAGTGAAGAGATACATGTGTCTGCCAGTGATGCATGGAAAAGCAAAGCGTGGTACAGAAACCCAACAGGGTATTATTCAGCCTTGCAAAGAAGGAAATCTGGATGCAGCCACAGCATGAATGGACCCTGAGGACATCACGCTCAGTGAAACAAGTCCAACACGAAAGGACGGATACTGTGTGACTGCACTCATGTGAGGTCCAGACAGAAAGCAGATTAGTGGTGCCCAGCACTGGTTAGTGTTTGTTTAAAGACCTCCAGTTGGAGACAATGGAAAAGTCTAGAAATAGTCTGAAGGATGCACAGCACTGAATATACTTAATGCCACAACATTTTTTAAAGCCACAATTTTTTTAAAGCCATAATTAAAGAAAAATAAATTTTAAAAAATAGATGATTTGGCAAGTCTGCAATGAGCACCAAGAACACCATCTGCAAAATAATGGCTGGGCTAGTTCAGTCTGGGGTCTGTGCACTGGAAGCGGGTTTGTTAACAGACCACACATTGGTGGTGTGGAAAACAAAGCCAACATGGACCTGGTACGAAACTTGAAAATATTTAATGGAACAAAGGGTAAAGCACAGCGAGTAGAGTGGGCACGTCTGCGAGACTCCAAAGCAGGGTGAGCACAATCAAGGAGGTGCCCAGGCAGCTCCCGGAGGACATTCCCGAGCCGGGGGGGGGGGGGGGGCGGGAATGCAGTTTTCCAGCCTGGTTGGGGGGCGGTGCGCCTCACCAAATGCCTCCCACCTGACATCAGGTCTCATCTATGCAGCGGGGCCCTGAGACTTCAATGAGGGAGAAGACAAAACCACCAAAGAACAGAAAAGTCATCCACATGTTAAACATCAACATTTCATGTTCAGGAGAGAAAACAAATTCAGTATAAAATGTGTAACAGGATGACTCTGTGTCACCATTTAACCTTACATCAGACAGTTAACTGGGTCCTGTCGGTGCAGAGACAACCCCGAGGGCCGTGAGGCTCTGGCTATGGAAGTTTTGTCTCGGGACCAGAGGAAGAGTGGCTGCTCACTGGGAGAGATGAAAGCCCGACAGCATCAAAGGCAGTACCTTTCCTGAGGTGCTGTCTCCTGAGCGCGTTGATGAGTGAGGACTTGCCCACATTGGGGATCCCGATCACCATGGCACAGTACTCCAGGCTCTGCCCAAGCACAAAAGCAGGGGGTCAGGGGTCCACCCAGACCACCCAGAGCCCTGCCCACAGCCCCGCCCATGGCCTCATCTGGCCCATGCTAGGGCCCCACAAGCCCAGGTCTGTGTTCAGGGGAAGGAAGGTCACTGTGGAGGCCACCCCACCCTTCCTGCGGTGAGAACAAGAGCACACAGGGCAGCTCCACGGGCTGGGGCAGCAGCCCCCTCCCAGGTACCTATAGCAGCACAGACAGAACCCAAGGAGTTCTGCAGCTCGTCACGGCCCAGCATGGGGACTGCTTGACCGCTGCTTAGCCGCTGAGCCCAGGCTCCTCAGCAGGAGGGACCCACAGCCCGCACTGGGCCCCACAACCAACCTCTCCTCGATGATAGCGGTAACTGCTCTCAACCAGTCCTCTGACCATCGGGATGATCTGCAAAGGACAAACCACACAGAAACTGGCTTCTTCCTGGGCTTCTGGAGGCGCTGTACTCCCGGGTCCAGCATCGGGGAACCAGGACTGTCCACATCAGGATTTAGAATGTGCTGGGGCCCCAAGGGGGGCGGTGATCTGTGCCATGTCCTGTCCCTCCACCAGCAGTGAGCAGGTCAGCCCCCCAGAGGGTGACAGCTCTGACTGCAGCCACCTCCCACCAAGTTGCATATCAGCCAGTGAAATAATCCTAACATACAATTGCAGAAAACGAGGCCCCAGATCTCCAGAATCGTCCTAGCTACGGCCCCGAGTGCACACGACAGCCTGGCACTGTACTCCACAGTCACAAGCTGTCCGAAGCCCACCTGCTCTCGACCAGGATCCCCCGCAAACCTACGGATTGTCTCTGAAACTCTGCTTCTTGTAAGAGCATGAGATAATCTGTGGGATTTCTTAAATGTATTTAAGCAAAAGCATTAGAGTGCGAAACAGAGGGACACCTACCTGCTTGATATTCTCATCCCTTACACAGTTGGTGAAAACAACATTTTTTAGGCCTTCTCCTTCTAAGTGTCGTATAATTTTCTGAAAGAGAATATTTCCATTTTATATACTAAATGCAAGTATGGGTGGCATGATATGCTAAAATCCAAGAATCTGAGCTTAGAACCCCAACCCCACCCCCGCCACAGGGCCAGGCGTGTTCCCTAGCTCAGAGCCACCCCAGCAGGGCCTGGGAAGAGCCAGGCCGCAGGGGGGCAGGTGGAGCAGGTGCTAAAGCACCACGGGCCTCAGGCAGAGGGCCTCAGGCAGAGCGCAGGAGCGCCTGGCCCCCCTGTGAGGACAGGAGGGAAGTGCCCTGGCCAGGGGCCCATGTACTCCGGGCTCCAGCGGGGATGAAGACTCAGCACAGACACCGCCTGCCTCTCGGGACTCAGGCCCCTTCATGTACAAGGAGCTGTTTCCAGCATCAAACGGTTCTGGTCTCCACTAGTGATCTTGTTACACCTGAGTATTCTGCCTAGCTCCCCTGTAAACTGAGGCTTGAACCCAATCCAATTACAAAATATATGTAATGTTTTAAAAGCCCAAAAGTAAACTAAGGCTAATATGAATTTACTGGTCTTTAAACGAATGCAGTGTAGGAATCCTGTTTTTTAAAGCCAGTATGATATTGTTTGATCAGCTACTGACCTAAAAATATGGTTGATGCCTAAATGAACAAAAAGTCATTCACTAATTTAGTTTTAGTTATGTATTTTAGTTATTTGTTAGATGACGCAGATTAAGACACAGACCACAACAAAGACATATGTGTATAAATTCACAGTGGATGTTCCAACCCAGCACTCAGAGGTAGACATGAGAAGCCACTGCTGGGGGCTTCTCCACTCCTCTCCAGGACCTCTGCCACAGAAGCAACTGAGAACAGCTCCCAGCTGGGGGAGACACCGCTGTGTCCCTATGGTAGGTCGCCTTACTGCCGAGCACTCTACAAAGATTAGCATTTAAGGGCAGAAGCAATCATTGATTAAGACTCAAATCTCAACCAGTAAAAGCAAAGCTTGTGATAAATTACTACACCTGCACATGCACTGAGACCCACGAGCACCTAGTTCCTGGACGACCTGAGCTGCCTGATCTGCACAGCAGGAGGACTCAAAATGACAAAAGGTGCTTGCACCTGGGTCAGGGGTCGCTTCTGCTTGGATTCTCAAAAGAACTCCGGTGGCTTCAGTTTATGTTTCCCTGGAAACCTTGACACAGAGGCTTGTGGTTGGGGCTTAAGTAACTCAAACACCACAATCAACTAAGATTGAACGGGCTCCGTGTTCAGCATAGAGTCTGCTTCTCCCTCTCCCTCTGCCCCTCCGCACTTCCCCGAGCTCTCTCTCACTCTCTCTCTCTCTCTCTCTAAAATAAACAAACTAGGGGCCCCTGGGTGGCTCCGTCAGTGAAGCGTTTGCCTTCAAACAAACGGATCCCTGGCTCCTGGGATCCAGCCAAGGCATCAGGAGCCTGCTTCTCCCGCTGCCCCTCCTCCCCCAACCCCGCTTGTGATCTCTCTCTCAGATAAATAAATAAAATCTTAAAGGAAAGGGAAGGGAAGAAAAAAGAAGAAAAGAATATAAAGCTTTTTAAAAACAAGGAAGGAACCCTAAACTACATTCTGGAAACAAAGAGAAAACTGCACTACTAACAACCTGACGATGGCTGGGCCGCACAGGCTCTGACACCCGCCCTTTGCGCAGCAAGAACAGAGGGGAGCGCTTGAAAACAGCATGTCCAGACCTTCGTGTTTCTCGAACTTCTGCGACACATGGGAAAACCCTGCACTGGGTCACTTGGTCACTCGCGTCCCCCGATCCTGCCTGCTTTGAAGAAGTTCCTTTGGGCCCCCCACCCTTCTAGTTTCCAAATACTGGGTGTGCAGGACTGGCCGGCCGGTGTGGGTGCCTGGGGTAGTAGATGCAGCCATCATGGGAGACCTCCAGGTCAGTACCTGTGGCCTGTGCCTGTGGCCACTGGCCTCACACAGCTACTGAAACACAACTCATTAAAATGAAATAAACTGTGAACATCGGTGCTGCAGCCAGAACCCCATTTCAGTGTTCCCAGCCAAATGGGCCAGAGGCCACATGGGGCACCCGGCTCCAGCCGCACAGCCCAGCCATGTCGCATAAGAGAGGCACATCTTGGTCCTCTGGACCATAAATTAATCATTATAAATTAGAGGGAGGTATGTCATTTTGAGAAATCATATAGGAATACCTCTGCAAACAAAGGGCTGTTCGCCAAAGCAAGACTGCCTGGGTGAATCAACACCGTGTTTGTTTGCAATCCCAGACACAGGAACCCTAAGGCTGACGGCATCTGGGACGGGCACCTTCACCTGCTGCTCTTTCAGATCCGCCAAGTCCATTTTGTTGAGGACCAGCATGTGAGGCTTAAGCCCAAGAGTTTCCTGAAACAGAGGATTGCGGCCTGAAAGTGGAATGTGGCAAAATTAAGGAAAAAACTCCCTCAGTGCTTTACCAGCCCATTAATTTATCTTGTCCATCTTGTCACACAGACTGACACCATCTTCAGAAGGAAATCTTTAGAAGAAACTGAGCAGAGGAGGAAACCCAGTCTCAGTGCAAGTACCTGCCAGCCAGCCCAGCCTCACGCTCCAAGAAGGATGAGACCAACCCCCCGTCCTGCCCTCCCGGCTGGGGAAAAAGACGCCTTGCCGCTGCCGCGTTCTCACTGCAGATACGCAGGGCAGTGGGTCTCACATGCCTTCCCCAACAGGAATGATGGTGGCGAAAACAAAACACAAAGCTCAGTGGAAGGTTTTGTAACTGGTTCTTTGTTTAGCTGCCAAGGTACATAACAAAATGAATGATCTGATCACTCCAAAACAGTGCATCCCGTAAAGTCCTAACCAGTCTATCTCAAACCACTGCCACCCTCTGGTTACTGCCAAAGGGATGAGGGTCCCCATGGAAACCATCCTTGAAGGTTCTGCCTCCTCTCGCCAGCACTGTTGGGCCCTTCCGCCCTCAGCCAGGGACCCTCGGGGCATCAGGATAGGTCCCACCTCATGGGACCCTAACACAGGCAGGAAGAGAGGCCTATATATTTATCTTCTGAACACTCAGCTCCTACTGAGTCCAAGTGTGAAATTCCCGAGGCCTCCAGCACACCCTGGGTCTAGACACCAATTAAGGGCTATGCCCTCACCCCACACAAAAGGACTTTCCATAAATCTCACTCTTCCCTCAAGGGTTAACCAATCCTGTGTAATTCAGAATACCAAAAGCCTCAGACTCCCTCCCAGGGCCCCTAACCCAGCCCAGGGTTCCTTGCCAGGTCCTGGAGAAAAAGGCAGAGGTCTAGAAACCAAAACACAGATGTCCACTCACTGTGCAGTAACAATTACAGGTTTATCATTTTTGATAATCAACCATATGACTGCTAGCAAACACTTCTGACCAGCATGGGATATCCTATAAATTGACATATTTAGCCTACAGTAAATAAACTTGACACTTTATTACAAAAGTTCCAGAGTTTGAAATAGTGAAAATGGTCCCTCATCAGACATCCTTGAGCTGGTAACAACTCTCAAACCAACACCTTCATCACATAAAGAGAACCCAAACATAGCTCAAAAACAATAGAAACAAGGTCTGAAAGTATATTCATTAGTGAACAGGATCACCAGATCTTGCCAATTCACGCCTCAGGCACAGAGGAAAACCCTGTTGGCCGGCACATTTCAATCAAGCTTGCATAACCCCACCGAGAGAACCCACTGCTGGACCGGACTGGAAGGTCTGGGTGTGCCAGGCAGAGGTCAGAAACAAAGACGCTACCCTAGTACCAATGTGGAGCATCAAATAGCACAAGGCCTGGACCCCACACCACAGATGCTGATTAACTGGCCCGGAAAGGGGCCCAGACCAGGATTTTTTAAACCCTCCTGGAGAAACTCTAATGTGCAATGAGGGCTGAGAACCACTGCTTCAAGTGCCAATAACTGAGAGGTGAGGGTGCCACCCTCTGTGGCAGCAGACTAGACCAGAGCAGAGGCCAGACAGAGGAGGTGCACGGAGACCAGGTAACAGCCAGGAATGCCTCCCGCTGCTTGAGCATTGCCCGATTCAGGAATAACGGCCTCCCCTTACCATTAGGATGCCACACCCAATTCCAACAGAGTTGGGAGCGAGGGAGCCCACAACACTAGGCAATTCTGTGACACCACCTGGATGTCCTATAACTTAACTCAATTCTAACACTATCTACATGGAGAAAGAGTCAGATCCCACAGGCTAAGGCCTCAGTCCCACAAGATACCCCCCCCCAAGGTGCCAATCACAAGTCCAGGTCATCACCTGTGCTTCTGACCCACTAGTTATAGATGGGAGGTTTCCATGACCCCCTCCTTGGATTCAATTAGTTTGTTAGAGTGGCTTCACAAAACTCAAAAAAGAAAATTTTACTTACTAGATTACTGGCTTATTAGAAAATGATATGACTCAGGAATAGCCAGATAGAAGAAACATATAAGACAATGTATCGTGGGATGCAGCACAGAGCCTCCATGCCCTAAATGTGCCACTCTCAGGGCGCCCAGGTAGCTCAGTCAGTTAAGCATCCAACTCTTGATTTCAGCTCAGGTCGTGATCTAAGGGTCGTGAGATCAAGCCCCCCATTGGGCCCACCGCTCAGAGCAAAGTCTGCTTGAGATTCTCTCTCCCTCTGCCCCTCCCTGTCATGCATTTGTATGTGCGCCACTTCCCCCCATTCTAAATAATAAATGAATACATAAATAAATAAAATCTTTTTTAAAAAGAATAAATGTGTCACTCTCCCTCCATATCCACATCTGACAACCCAGAAGTTCTCCAAACCCTGTCTTTTTAGGTCTTTATTGAGGCTTCATTATATAGGCCTCATTTATTAAATCACTGGCCATTGGCAATCAGTTAAACCTCCAGCCCCCCTCCCCTCCCAAAGGTCAGGGGTGGAACTGCAGGTTCCAATCTCCGATAGCAGGACTGTTTCACCTGGCAACCAGCCCTCAAACCTAGGTGACTGAGCAGGTTTCCAAAAGTCACCTCATCAACAGACACCTTTATCACTCTCATCACTCAAGAAATACCCAGGGTTTTAGGAGCTCTATGCCAGAGACAGGGACAAAGACCAAATATACATATATTTCTTATTATAAATCACAGTATCACAACCACTAAAGGATATCCGGGCATCATGGACCTCGATGATACAGTCCACCAACTTTAGGCTGCTCTGCATCTTCTTCAGCCCTGGAAAACAGAAGGATGCCTAATGGGTCTATGGCTTTTCAAGACTGATAGGTTTAAACTGTCACGAATGACACACCACCACAAACAACCTAAAAAAGAATACATCTGAGTGAAGCGTCCTAAGTCACCATAACTGATGGCCGCTTGCTGAGTGCCTCTTTCAAGTTCGACAGTGGTGTCTCCAGAAAGAGAAGAGGCCGTGCGTGAGGTGCAGCAGCATGTCTGGGTCCCACCCCCTCGGAGGGCTCTACGTGGAGTATTTAACCTCTACAGGTGTTAGTCTCAGCTACAGAACAGGCAACTCGGACTACCCGACTCACTGTGTATCCACTTCAGCCACTCACCCTTAACCAGGAACCACACACACAACCCAAGTTACAAGGCTCCTCGGGAACGGTGCACGCACCGCTCAGCGCCCCTCACACAGCCACACGGGGGCATTGGGAGCATCCTCCAGCTTCTCGCATCTGCCACCTCCCGTGCCCACGCGGCCCCTGCACCAGCCCTCGGGACACAGACGCGCGCGGCACTCGGTCACCGTGCACCCGGTGAACCAGAGCGCGCGAAGGCAGCCGGCGCTGGAGCGGCCATCTCCCAGAGGTCTTCCCCAACGAGCTGTCAGGAACCGTAAGGATCTCCTCGGGAGGTCTGGCAGAAGACAGCAATGCCTCTGTGTTTTAAACCTGCTGCAATGACAGCACAGCTTGGAAAGTACTTCCCTCCGTTTCATTTAGTCCTCAACATAATATTCAGGAAAGTATCTCTTTGTAGAAACAGATGTGGAAACGGAGGCTTCGGGAAATGAAGTGGCGGAGGAGACTTGCTGGGTCCCAGGACCACCCCAGGACACCTCTGCCGCCCGCCGCGGCCGCCCGCCCCACGCGCGGTCAACCTGACGAGCGAACGGGTGCTGGGGACGCCGGCGGGTTGGGGGGTGGCGCCGGGAGGGGGCACCGGGGACGCCGTGGGGGTGGGGGACTCCGGGGGGCGCACACACGGGCATAGAGAGACGGCCGCAGCCGGCGGGCGGACCCCGGCCCCTCCCGCCCCCACCTCACCCTTGGCCATGTGTCCCGGGAACCAGCGCGCCACGTCGCGACCGCCCAGGGGGAAGCTCTCTCGCCAGGCGGCCCCGGCGGCGCCGCAGAGCGCGCGCGAGGCCAGCCCCATGGCGCCGTGTCGCCGAGCGCAGCGCGGCGCAGGGGGACCGTTCCCGCAACGGACCTCTCCGCGGGGCCCACGACCGACCCTGCAGTTCCGGCGCTTGAGGATACCACCGGCCAACTCGCGCGTGCGCACTACGCTGCCTTCGGCGACGCGCTGAGCCTGGGGCCGGGGGCGGGGCCGGGGGCGGGGCCGGGGCCACGAGCCGACCTGGGACCTGTGCGCTTCCGGGACTTCGCGTGGGTCCTGAGTTTGTGCGGTATTTCTTTTTTTAAAGAAATTAATAGAAATTTAAAAATTTCTAGTTCTTTCTTAAGTGTATTCTGAGTATACGTGTAACAACTCAGCAGTTCCCTGCCAATGTTTGACCCCTTTTTACAAATTGGTTAAAATTTTCAAATACTTTTTTTTGTTTTAAAGATTTTATTTATTTATTTGACAGAGAGAGACACAGCGAGAGAGGGAACACAAGCAGGGAGAGTGGGAGAGAGAGAAGCAGGCTTCCCGCGGAGCAGGGAGCCCGATGCGGGGCTCGATCCCAGGATCCTGGGATCATGACCTGAGCCGAAGGCAGACGTTTAATGACTGAGCCACCCAGGCACCCCTACAAATTGGTTAAAATTTTCAAATACTTTAAATGTAGCCTATATATGTAATATCCCCCTTTTCTTTTTCAAATACTCCAGGTTTTAAACAAAGCCTTTGCAAACATTGACTGCAGTTCTGCTACACTAACCCTATTAATACACTAAGCTGGAATTCCCACTGTCCCCGTACTCTGTGTAAATGTAGCTTTAACTCTGAGTCCAAACAACTACTCAGTGCATGTTGAGTACAAGAGTATTCCTCTAACGGAAGTTTTGAAACAAGATGCTAAAATTCCAAACACAAAAATGTCACTACTGTGATGGTCTCAACCCTCCCAGTTGTCAGCACAAAACATTCCAAGGACCCTGGGAGGTAAGCGCTCCCAGGTGGGATGAGTCAGACACCAGACGAGGACCCAGCCCCCGGCTCCTCCTCAATGAGCAGCCCTCCCACCAAGATGGCAGCACGTGTCCTGCTCACCTTTGTCACTTGGGATACAAGAAATGTCTCCCCAAGCACGCGGCTTGAAGAAACCTTGTATGTCAACAACACAGATCACTGAGAGAAGTGGCAATCTCTAAAACAAAACCCTGTTGAATTCTGGATTTCTCACAGCTGACTGGCAGGTGTCCCACACAAAACCACTGGAGTGACACGGAGCAGTGGACACACATACAGAACTCTGGGGCAGGGGCAGGGAAGACCCGTTGGAGGGGCCATCTGACCCAGGAGGGGAAGGAAGAGAAGGGCCCGTGCAGGGTGTGCTGGGGCTGACGGCATGTCAGGCACCACTTGGGATTGGAGAAGAGCCCAACAGGCCTGGCCCCAAGACCCTTCCACCAAACACACATACGCTCACCCCTGCAGCCAGGGTCCTCCCCATCCCTCCAGAGCAGGTCACAGACTGCAGCCTGAGGTACAGGAGAGGCAGGAGCCACTGGCTTCAAGGTGAGTGCAGGGCCAGGAGCCCCACACCTGCGGCACGGAGTCCCAGCCTCTGCAGCTCCTGCACCTTCTTCCAAAGTGCCACCCACCAGCAGCACCAGCCTCCCCTCAGGGCCTGTGCCTTTTTTCTGTTTCTGGGTGTCCTGAATTGGGAAGAAGCTGGGACAGAAGCCCAAGCTTTGCAGTGGCAGCCTTGAGACTGAGCAGTTACTGACCCTGACCTCTAGGCATTTTGTCCCTTCCTCAACTGTGAAAGAGCAGCCCTTTGACCCATTCTCTGGGAGGCTTTAAGGATGCAGCAAGGCAAGATGGGGTCAGCTGAGCAGAGCACCCAGGGCAACCCAACACACTCACCCCAACACTGCCCACTGCACCATGCTCCCCACTCACCCTGACACCCCAACTACCCCACCCCTCTGCACTCTTGAGGCCTCATTTTTTATTCCCTTCCTTTAGAAAACCTCTGGCCCCAGGTCAGGATGGGGTGCCTCTGTGTACTCATGTGTCCGCACTCTCTGGCCCTCTCCCAGCCCAACGTACAGTGGGTATCCGCTAAAGTATCTGTCGGTGCGGTCCTGAGACCAGCAATGAGAGCCCGGGAACGCCTGAAGGTGCCAGTGACAAGGGGCAACCACAGCATCCAAAGTCCAGGGAACTGAGGGGAGGGGGCACCTGGCCCCGCAATGGCCCAGGCCTGGGGCCTAGCGAAGACAGAAGTGACAGATGCCGCAGGCCTGAGGTACAAGAATGAGGAGGCATGGAGGCTTTAACAACTTTATGTGCATGCCCTCAGCAGCAGTGGTGTCGTCCCATGTCTCATTTCTCCAAGAAGACCTCGCACTCAGCTCAAGCTGGGCCCCGGCCAGACTCAGTGACATGAAAAATCAGAGCTGCCCCCAGTCACCAAAAAAGGCAGGCTGTCATTAACATCCCCAAATCTCAAGCCAGGCCAGACACTGTCAGAGGAAAGGATGATGTCACCCAGCACTGGAGGGGCAGTGCTGGGCTCAGAAGAGGAGGAGCAGGGCTCAGAGCCAGGGCCCCGGCAGCTGTGCCTGGGGGTCCTGCAGAGCGATGAGCCGGTCGGCCTCCCTCCAGCCAGACAGCAGAGCCCCGTGCGTGGTGGAGTAAAACGTCCGATGTGTGGCTTCCCCTGCAAACAGTATCTGGAGCTGCAAAGAAAAGCCAGGGTTAGGTGCCAGGAATCAGGTGGCAGCCACACGCCTCTCACCGTGGCTGCAGAGCTGATGTGTGGTTTTATTGTTCACTAATCCCACTGAGCCCTGAGACGGCCAGGAAGCCTGAGCAGGTACACAGACAGCAAGCACTCCTGCGATCAAAAGCGAATGCAAAATGGAAAACTCGACAGACAGTTTGGGATGCAATGTTAAGAACTTCACCCAAAACACAAAGTGAAAACCCAAAGAGATGGAAATTAGGAGGGAAAAAGATAAAAAAAATTTGAGGACCAGTCCCCCATCCAAACAACAAAACCCCACAAAAGAAGGAGGAGGAAGAGAAGAAAGAACAGAGAGCTGAGACAGTCCCAAGCTCCCTAGGAGGTAAGAAAGGAAGGAAGCTGAATGGCTTTGGACTTCCCAGGAGCAGCACTGAAGAATGTCTTCAGAACGCTGAGGGACGTGCCTCCAAACTAGGGTTTACACCCCACGTGCAGCTCTTGCAGGGCTACCAGTTCTTGGAGACACCTCCCATAGAGAGGTAGGAGCTGCGTCCTGCCCTTGAATCTGGGCAGGCTTGTGCCCACTGTGGAGTGGAGTATGGCAGAGTGGCACTTTCTGATGTCCTAGCTGGGCCGCCACGTGGGCAGCAGCAGCCGTGCTGTGAGGAAGCCTGAGCCACACAGAGGCCACAGGCAGGCACTCCCGCCAGTGTCCCAGCCCAGGGCAGCCGTGCAGGACGAGCAGCCTCAGATGACCCCCACCCCAGCCCTGAGTGACCGTGGCATAGGCCAAGTCTTCCCCACTGAGACCCCAGACATCATGGGCAGAAACAGACGGTCCCTTGCGCCCACCTACAGAACCTGTGAGCATAATAAAGTGGTTGTTTCCACCAGTGGGTTTTTGGGTGGTTTGTTACGTAGTGACAGGACTGGAACACCTGAAGTCTAAGGTAGAAAAAGGACAATTCCACACATGCAAACTTAACTTTCTCTAAAATTTACCTCCCCTGCACCCCCTCGTCAGGAAGCTACTGGAATAAATGCTCCAAAAAGTAAGTGCACGGGGCAGGTGGGGCAAGGGGCACCAGACAGGCTGGGGCTGTGCATCAGGAGCTGAAGCTGACACTGGGGCGTGGGAAGGAAGCGAGAGATGATGGAAAGAGTCAGCAGAGTCTAGGCAAAGAAGTGCACGGAAAACGGAGCTCTGCACACACTCCCTCACTCATGCACTCAGTCACACTCACTTGCACACACTCCCTCACTCATGCACTCAGTCACACTCACTTGCACACACTACACTCCACACACCCACCCACAGACTCATAGACACACGCTCACATCTACAAACAGGCAGGGAAGGAACCACAGTGTCCTTACAGGCCACATGTGGACAGGGCCTGGAGCAAACCAGATGATGGACACACTGAACAGTGGTCTTAACAAAAGTACCACATCACACATGGGGAGGCCGGGGCAGAGCGAAGTGCTGGGTGGACAGAGGAGTGCAAGAGAGCTAAAACCTTATCTGCCATAGGGAGAGTCAATCAGGGATGCCTAAAACTGAAAATTCGAGGAGCAACATTATGGAACAAGCAAACCGTAAAGAGATTATAGGGCACTGGGGAAACTGAACGCTGAGTTTTGGATAATATGGAGGAATTATCATTAATTTTTAACTGGGATAACTTTGCTATAGTTACACATCTTTAGAGGGCATCCTTTATCTTTAGAGACCCATTCCGGGGTGTCTGCAGTGAAATGATGTCATATCACACAGTGGAGGGGTGGGGGGATGGGCCGCGGCCACCACGGCACAGCGCTGAAGCCGCAGGTGGGGGCCCAAAGGTCCGGCCTGCTTGTGCACACATCCGAAGTTTTCCATGACTGAGTGTTTTGTAAAAAGTGGCAGCATAAGCATGTTATTTAGAGATGTGGTAAATCTGGAGCTGAGACTCAGCCCTGACGGTCTGGGAAGGGGTCTGGGAAGGGGATGTTGGGTGCCCTCCAGCAGCCTGCTGTATTTTGTTATTTTGTTACTTTGTTATTTTGCTACCAGCACTGTAGAATTTTCTGTTGCTTTTTAGCCTAAGTGCTTGTAAAATTCTGATAAAATAATACATGTTTCACGATTCCTAGTTTCAAAAAGCACAGGGACCCAGCCACAGGGCTCCCAGCCCCACCCGTGCCCGCCTCACCTGCGCCTTCGCGCCCTCCTTGGGCAGGGGCTGCGCCAGCAGGTCGATGTCGTCCCCGGTGCTGCCCACGGCCACATAGCTGTAGGAGCCCCTGGTGTATGGG